GAAAATTTGTGTAGTATTCTCAATGAATTGGATCTGGGAGAAAAATTAGGTGACATAAATTAGGTAGGAATAAGACGAGAGAATACAGAAAAATTAATTGGGTCATTTCATGACCTGTAATGAATAAGAATGACAACTGGTAAGCATCTTGTATGGAAAAGCATTAGAAGATAGACTAAACTCCCAAGAGAATGAATGGAAAATGGATATCAGGAAAGCAGATGGGGAAGCTGGTTGGAAATGAAAAGAACTATGATTTAGAGTAGCAGAGAAGGATGTGGAGTTATGCTAATAGAAAATGTGATAAAGGATGCTAGTTGGAATGTTTAAGTAAAAAAAATATATTAATGAGACAAAAAAATTGTAAATAACTGACTGCTGTAAAAAATGAGAATGAAAAATACTACACAATACGGATAGAGTTAAAAAAATTATTGCAAAAGTGCAGTCAAAGAAAGCAAGGAACATTTAAGATTAATAGAAGCAAATAAATTGCAGTGCAATCTTGATGGAAATAAAAGCCCATTGTTTTAGACATGGCAAAGATAAAAATTGCAGTGCAATCTTGATGGAAATAAAAGCCCATTGTTTTAGACATGGCAAAGATAATTAAAGACATGTCCAGCAGACTGAATGGAATTAAAAATAAAAGTAGAAGAAATTGGTATAGGAATAAGAACAATCTACTATAGAATTAAAGCAAATGATATAAATGTTAGTATCCAAAAAATGGTGATGAGAAAGTCACAAAAGCTGTAAAAATGTTTAAAAATACTAAGACCGCATATGTAAATAGTAACCGAAGAAGTGTTAAAATATGGATATGATTTATTTATGGACTGGCTATGCAATAATGTGCATGGGGTCACGAAGAGTCGGACACAATGACTGAACAACAAATGCAATTAAACTGGATTTTTGCTATACTGTTCTATACAAAGTATTTAATGAAATTTAATGGAAAATGATATAATTATTATATGCAACTTTTATAAAGCTCAAGAACATACTTGGAATAAAATAGCATATTTCAATCTAATGCTGATTACCTACTGTCAAAACCACTAAATATAGTCATAATATAATGAATTTATCTCCTATTTAGGCTAAATCTGAGAATTATTATCTGAGTTCTTTAAATTCCTGGCAAATATTGGGATACCTGTTTGTGTGGGAATCAGTTTCAGTATCTAATACTGCAAGACAAATATGGAAATATCAAATAACAGATAAAATTTTGATTCCATACTAGATAATATATATATTTTTTACAAATCTTTAGAATAATGGAACTCGTCTGAAAAAAAGAGCCCTAAAAATTTCTTTCATATTGTTCCATATTAGCAGTAAAATATCATGTACTAAAAATAACAACAAGTAATGAAAGTCCTTGTAGTCCTTGCTTAATGACCATCATATGGACTGGAAAATTGGTAATTAAGCAGGGCAGTCATTAATCAAGTCAACACGTGACCGGACCCAATTTTATGACCATTTTTATGATGGTCATTAAGTGAATCACCACAGTTGTTAAGTGAATCACATGGTCGTTAAGCAAATCCAGTTTCGTCAATGGACTTTTTTGCCAGAATTCGCTTAACCAACATGTGATTTGCTTAATGACCGCAGCGATTCATTTAACAACCATAAAAAAGGTCACAAATTGGAATCACATGACCATGGGGGGTGCTGTAACAGTTTGCGATGGTCATAAGTGTGAGTACAGGTCATATAAACACTTTTTCCAAGGCCATCATAATTTTGAACTGTAGTTAAACAAACGACCATTTAGCGAGGACTACCTATAATAGTTTAATAAGCAGCATCTCCAAACCATGATATGATTAATCTGAATATATGAAGTGCTAATATGAAAATCAAGATGACTTGTTATGGTAACAGATTTGTTTATAAACAACTGCAATTTGTTGCTGGTGAAAGTTCTGAAAGAAATTTTTCATTTTTTTCCACAGAGCTGTCATAAAGTATGCAAAAGTGTAATTTGATATTACCCATAAAGGGTACAAAATATCTGAATAGTCCAAAAACACATAAAATAGATTTTTAATCTTAAACCTGTACAGACCCTTGAGGAAATCTCAGAGGAGAACAAACCATAGGTTCTTTGCCCATTGCTAGAAATCTCTCATGTCCATCTAATCCAATGCGTGTGCCTATCAACCTTGAACTCAGTAGAACCTTTCTGATATCTTATAAACCGACACATACAAACTCGGCATACAAATATACTGTTGCCAGCATATGTCTCACAAGGCTTCAGATCTACATTCTACAGTGGCAATAGAAGCAAGAGTTACAGTCACCTAATCTGCAGTACTGATTTCACTGTCTTCTCTTTGACAGAAAAGACCTGACCTGACTGTGGTTGCTCATAGGGGATTATGTCCATTTCTTCAAAATGAAAAAGATAAATTCTAGCTTGTTGAAAAACAACTGTACTCTATACAAGTGATTTTCCTTATACTAGCAATACCAACAAACATTATTTAACACCACAGGTTATGTTTTGCTTTAGTAATGCATCCTGAAATATAATTCAGCTGTCAACTACATATAGATTGCTAAAAACCATATTTTCATGATGCATTCTAATAAGAAGAAATGATCCTTTATAAGGCATGTGATTACCTAAGCCACATATTGTTGCAAAAGGATGTACAGAGATGATAGTGAAAAAAGGAAGAGGAATAGGGCGACCAAGTGAAGGCAAGGCTAAAAGAAAGAAGGGATAACCATGAAGAATGTGAGTGGAAACCAAGGAATTGGAAAAACTAGGTTGCAAAGAGTAGGACAGAGAGAGAGAGAAACAGAGAGGAAATTGACTCTCAGAAAAACAAATCAAGTTACAAGTTAGAAGAAGCCATAAGTAGGACCCCCTGGACCCCCAAGTTTTTTCATCCCTCTTAAAGAGGATACCAAACATCTGCACATGATAACCCATATCAAGGGCTACCTAAACCATTCCTTCCATCCCACAGATAGGATGGGTAATCTGTTCAGAGAGCTATGGCAAAGAAGTGATGGAAGGAATGCCTATTGTGCCAGACATGCCCATCCATTGAGGCAGATGCTACTCAGACCTCTAGAGACCAAAAACCTATTGTTAAAATGTTTTCATTTCTATTCAGGATCAGAAAAAATGAACAAAACTTGTTTTCATCTATGTCTTCCCATAGAGAAGACATAGACAGTGATAGGTTGATATTACTCATATAATTGGAGTATCGTATATGATAAAAAGCATGTACAGTGGTACCTCTCTTACGAACGCCCCTACTTATGAAATTTTCAAGATACGATCAGCTCCGGCCCCAAAAATTTACCTCTACTTACGAACTCGCTTCGACTTACGAGCCATTTCCCGCCCGTTCCACGTGGTCCGTGGCCATTTTCCGCCCGTTCCACGTGGTCCGCAGCCATTTTTCTGCCTGTGCCACGTGGTCCGCGGCCATTTTCCGCCCGTTCCACGTGGTCCGCAGCCATTTTTCTGCCTGTGCCACGTGGTCCGCGGCCATTTTCCGCCCGTTCCACGTGGTCCGCAGCCATTTTTCTGCCTGTGCCACGTGGTCCGCGGCCATTTTCCGCCCGTTCCACGTGGTCCGCAGCCATTTTTCTGCCTGTGCCACGTGGTCCGCGGCCATTTTCTGCCTGTTCCACGTGGTCTGTGGCCATTTTTCTGCCCATTCCACGTGGTCCACAGCCATTTTCCGCCCGTTCCATGTGGTCCACAGCCATTTTTCTGCCCATTCCACGTGGTCCGCGGCCGTTTTTCCGTCCCGGACACGTGATCCGCGGCCATTTTTCCGCCCTGCCGTGTGGTCAGTGGCTGTTTTTCTGCCCCTGACGTGTGGTCTGTGGACGTTGGAACGGATTACCGGTAATTACATTGAACCTTATTGGAAAATTTACTTCGACTTGGGATCAACTCGACTTGCGATCAGAGTCACGGAACGGATTAAGTTCGTAAGTAGAGGTACCACTGTAAATAGTATTTGACAATGAAAATATTGAAGTGGTGGATAGCTTCTGCCTTTTAGGATCAACCATCAACAGTAAAGGAACTGTTTCTTTAGCAGTCAAGAAATATGCTGTATACTAGCACTAAGTGCAGCAGCCATGAAGGCCTTGGAAAAACTATTCAAATGCTGTGATGAGTCCATACCTACAAAGATCACAATTACTCCCTGTGACACTCCATAGAAGCAAAAGGTGGACTTTGAAGAAGCAAGATAAAAAGAGTATTGACTTTTTGGTGTTGGAGAAGACTCCCGAGAAAACCATGGACAACCAAGAAAACAAACAAGTGGATAATCAAACAAATCATCTCAGAGTTCTCACAAATGACCAGGTTCAAATTATCCTTCTTTGGACACATTATGAGAATACCTAGCTCTCTAGAGAAGGCTCTAATGTTGAGAAAGATAGAAAGAAAGAGAAGATGACAAACAGCAGCAATGTAGATGGACTCATTTACAGTGGCAATGAGTGAACATGGGAAGAGATGAAGGACCAGGTTAGGGATAGATCATCATGGAGAAAATCTATCTATGTGGTTGCTAAGAGTCGACCATGACATGATGGTACATAGTCAATCAATCAATCAATCAATCAATCAATCTAAATAGTATAGACATGAAAGCAGGTTTTTGCACCCTATGAAGTGGGTAAGTAGCCCCTAAACCAATT